AGGACAGGCATCCTCTAGTCTATTCTATGGCCCCCTATTTCCACCGCTTGAACCAAGTCCGCCTCTACCCTGCGGCCGCCACGCCGGGAACTTCGAACCAGCCAAAGAACAAAACGCCCCCGAACAAACAAAAGGACAGGCATCCTCTAGTCTAATCTATGGCCCTCTATTTCCACCGCCGCTTGAACCAAGTCCGCCTCTACCCTGCTGCCGCCACGCCGGGAACTTCGAACCAGCCAAAGAACAAAACGTCCCCGAACAAAGAAAAGGACAGGCATCCTCTAGTCTAATCCATGGCCCTCTATTTCCACCGCTTGAACCAAGTCCGCCTCCACCCTGCTGCCGTCGCGCCGGGAAATTCGAACCAGCCAAAGAACAAAACGCCCCCGAACAAAAAAAAGGACAGGCATCCTCTAGTCTAATCTATGGCCCTCTATTTCCACCGCTTGATCCAAGTATATACAGATGTTGTTATATACATGCTGTTGGTGCTGATGCGCGTCAATTGCACGGGCTTGGCCAACCCTCGAGCTTCTTCACTCCTGACAGAAGGTACACAGGTGGGGGCCGAAGCGTCGTCAACCCGCAAGTAGGATAGCGGCGTGTTAAATCTCACGAACAAATCAGGCCGGTGAGAGCATTTTTTCAGGTAAGCGCCACCGCTGAAAACGAGCACATACAAATAGCAAGTTTGGCGAGGCAGCGAGGCAGACCTAGCCGATGCAGACTACTACCGTCGAATTTATTTGCCACAGTCGTTTTTGTTCCTGTATTTCGGGGTATCATATTGGGAGGTTTCCCTGGAGTGGTCACTTTCTCGGAGAGTTCACATGCAAGGACAAGGCCTGCTGGACAGCGTGGAATAGCAGAACTACGCAACAGTAGTAGGTGAACTCAGAGATAGGGATAGTAAGACTTGGCCAGGCTGAAAGTCCCAGAAGTTGCGTTCTGTCATTTTCTTGGAGTCGAGAGCGGCGACGGAAGTATCTTTCTTGAAAGAGCGATATGTCGGGTACGGCGAAGCCATACTCATGCTGATGGGCACACGACGCCTTGTGGTGTTCCCTTTTCTTGGTGTACTCGCCCACCCTTGTCCACCGAGAGAAACGATCGGTGGTGGTGTGCCACAAGACACACATACACACACACACACACACACCAGGGTACTGGTTCGAATCGCACCGCTGGCGAGCGCCCACGCCTGCGATGCAGTTTGCCGCCGCGAGACCACGGAACACCCATCGTAGCCGTTGGACCGTGGCCGAAGCGCAGTAACATCTCCATAGGTATCGCCGCTGAAAAACGTTTATCGCATACAGCCATGCGCGAAAATGTTGCCGCCAAGAGTGGGCTTGCAACCCGCTTGGCTGTCGACAGCAGTCCACGAGCAGCGGGGCAGATACGATTACACCCAGACTACTACACATGAGCTACTGATTCAAACGTGCACACTATAACTGCGCCGCTTGCCGTTGTGGTGCGCATAATCGCCGCAGCTGTCGGCCATGGGCTGAGCAGCAGTAGCAGAGGGCACGTAATGCCGCCCAACGAATTTATCGTTGTGCGGATTGCTGCAGGTGACACACGATACCACACCTCCTGGGGCCGATCCCACGCTCGATTAACCCACGACGGGAACGACACACCAATTGAACGATACGGTTTCGGCATTTTTTTTTACGAGACGGGTACAACGCCGCCAATCTCGTGCAAAAAAAAATAAACACAAATATTTGATTCCGACGTGGAGTGATCGACTCTAGACAAGTTACATGGTAAGGGGGCATGTAATATGCCGTCATCCATGGTACATTTGCATTAAAAAAAAAAACGCCGCCAAAGGTGGTGTCACCGCAACCAACCCGGCTGTCGACACCATTCGAAGAACCCAGACATGAACTACTGATTCAAACCTGCACAGTCGTGCGCGTTGCCGTTGTGAGTATGCAATACATGAAGCTGTCGGGCAAGGGCCGAGCGGCAGTACATAGCTCGCAGATGATTCGGGTGTCATTGCTGAACGACGCTTTTTCGTGCATAGGCATATGCTTTTGCAGACGCACGTTCCATCACGCACTTGCAACCGCTGATACGCGGGGCATTTTTGCCGCCGAGGGGCCGTTCCGAAGGGCCGCGGTAATAATCGTCCATCAGCGGCGGGGCCAGAATAACCTAACGGACGAGTTGATGACTCTGAATGGCGCCATACATGTGAACGCCGTTTGGTTTACACGTGTTCGAGGATCTTGTAATTGTAGACCCATGTCTCCAGTTTGGGTGCACTAGCTCCCCGGTGTTGTGGGGCGTGTGCTTCCGCCGTACCACATGCGCACAACAACACGACTGTCACGTCCGCAGTAATCACCCCGGAAGGTCGGGAGGCCACCAGTCATGCCTGCGAAGAGCCACCCCGAGAGAACGAAGTGCGCGGAAGTTGCCGCCGGATAATGTTTTTCCGCGGGGTTCGGGGGAGCTAATCCGCAACAACTTCTGGGTGCGTAAATAGCTACGTGGAAGATGCGTTATTCGTAGAGCTTGAGAGCTTACTGCGGGGGAGACGATGTCTGCGCGCGACTCGTTCATACGCGTCCGACAGCTTTCGCTTATTCGGCAATCGCCACGAGGGGGGGGGACCCTCCCCTCTTTGATACGGAGAAACCCACGTCGTGGGATACGCGCATGGAAACGCTAAATAGGAAGGCTGATCGATACAGTGGCGATGACGATTTCGGTGTCACAAAGAGAAATTTGCGCACTTGGGGGCCATGTTGGCGGAATGGGCGGTAGAGAGACCGGTAGCCACTGTGAAGGAGGTGCGGTCGTTGTTGGGAAAGTTGCTGCACTTGGTGCGAAGCGGTAAAAGACCGGGCAAGTGTTTCGTACGCCGCATCCTGACCCGGTTGGGGCTAGCGCCAGTGAAAGCGGGGGAAGATACGGGTACCGGCTTTAAGGTAGGAGGCAAGCACAAACGCGGCTGCGTTTTTGTAAAATGGGTCGAGAGTTTCATGAAGGCTTGGGCCTTCTGGAGGAAAAGCCATGGCCACAGCTACAGGGTCGGATGGAATCACGCGGTCAGAGGCGCCCTTGCACTTCTCCTTTTTGCAGGCGCCGTCTCCAACACTTGTGAGCAATGCTAGTGGGTACGGCAAGAGATTGTTTTTCCTAGAGACTGGTCAGTGGTGGAGGATAGATTTTGTAGGTTTCACAGATGATACTCGGGTGCGCCTCCGCAACCGGGTACTCTCTCGACATGATTTGTCGATGAACGTGTTCGAGTTGCTGGGCATGCTAGTCACGGCATGGGCGTTGACCGTACAGGCAGATCATCTTGATGAGAGGAGACAACATGCGTGCCGTCCACTGGGTTAACAACTGTGGGGGAGCAAAGGAGCCGAGGTCGGGTGCTTGGGTGGTTGGAAATGCGGAGCGAGTGGCGTTTGAGGGCATAGCACATCAAGGGCGTGGCCAACACGTTCGCTGATGGTATCTCGAGATGGAAGCACGACGAAATTGCCTCAAATTTGCACTCGTACCGGCCCAACATTCGTTGGCAGGAGCAGCAACAAGGACATGAGGCGTTGGACATGGGAGAGAACACGGCGTGGGGTAGCGGGAACAAAATACGATGTTTCACTTGTAGGAGAGAACACGGCGTGGGGTAGCGGGAAGAAAATACGATGCTTCACTTGTAGTGAGACTCTCATGGTGACCTCGAATTGGGTACAGCAAATGGTAGAGTACCATTTGGGGACTGGGTCGTCTGAGATGTTTCGTAAAGTGGGAAGAGTTCCCGACACCGGTGGAAAGAGAAACCCCGGGCTCTTTTCTCAGGGAAGAGAGAGCGAGAGAGACAGCAGTAGTACGCATGGATATAGACACCGTAGGACAGGCGCAGAGGGCGTCTGCAGGAAACGCCTTCTGTCAGTGTGGTTGTTCTCTCTGTTCCTCGCGTATGAAGAGAAACATTGATGCAAAATGGCAATTCGAAAGACAACAATATAAACACCCGATGTACATGTAGCACGCCAGAAACAACAAAAGGAATGTTCAATTCAATTCACTCTTTCGAGGTCGAGAAACACACCAGTCGAGTCGTCCGGAGATCAGATTTCGCAAGACTCAACATCGCCCGTGTGTTGGACGTGTGATTCAAAACGTTTCAATATACGAGAGGGAACGGTTGGAAAAACAGGCCAGAAGCGTGAGGGCAGGCAGGGCGCGAGGGAGGGAGTACATGTGCAGGTAGAGTGAGTGAGATTTGCCGAGCGGCATGTGAGAACACCACTGGCGTTTCTATCCAGTATTTCGCACGATTAGAAAACACTTTCGAAGCAACGAAGGGGCTACAGCAGAACAGTAGTACGTAGCTCACCAGAGAAACTCTCCACCCATGCTTCGCCGAGCACCGCCAAGGAGAAGACTCCGGGCCAGCAGGGGCGCGCCGAGAGCGAGAACGCGCTCTCGGTCGCTTGTAGGCCCCTCGCCTAAAAACCACCGGTGACCGCAAGACGACAACAAACCATGGGTGAAGGAAAGGCAAGCGGGGCATTGCTGGGGGTGAGTACATCCACGGGCGTAGGGGTCGGCGGGGATTTTGTACTTAAGCAACCATTACCATTCGGCACGAAACGAAGCTAGAAAACACGATGCAATTTGACACCTGGTGGTCTCACATGCCGTCCTCATTTCAAGTTCAAAGGCAAAGGAGAAAAATCTCACATCACCCGAAAACGCAACGGTGACAATCATGCCGATGACGCGGGGGCGAAGCACAAGGCAGAAACGACAACCAACCTGGCCAACGGAGCGTATCCAAGCGGACTTGTCGGGAGCCATGGAGCCGGGAAGGCGTGCTCCGGTAAGACGCATGCGACGTTGGAATCGCATCAGGCCACCGCCGCCGTAACACGGGTGATAATCCTCGTTACAGCGGGGGGCCTCGTCCACCTCTAACACACCTGTTGACAGCGGCAGCAGTAGAGACTCTCCCTCCGTTCTCTCTACTGCCCTACCACCGCCACCGACCCCTGCCTTGCAAGACCCGGGCGCGAGGGAGCTGTCGAGGATGCCCATCCACCATCATATCCTCGACTCGCCTCCCACCGCCCCCGTAGGCCCCTTGCCTGCAAGCCACCGGTGGCAGCAAGAGGAGAGCAAACCGTTGACCAAGGAAGGCAAGCGGGGCATTGCTGGAGGTGAGAACATCGACCGGCGTACGAGTCGCGCGGGGGTGTTGTAGTATAAGCAATCACACAACGAACAGAAAAGAGACTAGAAAAACACGCGGCTACCTTGACATCTGGTGGTCTCACATGCCTCCTCACTCCATGCTCAAAGATCGGAACTGATCCCAAACAAACAACGGAGTAAAAGCCACACGACACGAAAACGCAACTTCGACACAAGACAGAAAACACAACCAACCTGGATAACGGAGTGTATCCAAGCGGACTTGTCAGGAGCCATGGAGCCGGGGGTGTGTGGTGAAGGAGGACGCGTGTGACGTTGGTATCACACAAGGCGCCGCCGGTGCTATACAACTGGTGATGGTCCTCTGTATAGCAGCGGGCCTTCGTCCCCCTCCCACACGGCTGCGGAAACGATAGACAGTAGGCTCTACCTCCGCCCTCTCCTACTGCCACCGCCACCGCCCCCCAACCCGCATAGCCTCCGGCGCGAGGGAGGTCTCGAGGATGCGCATCTACCGCCCCATCCTCGACTCTCCTCCCTTCCGCCGCCCCCACCGGTGAAAGAAGACGCGCGCATAGAAACGCACATCAACCCTGGAAGACGCCGAGTACGCTCGCGGGAGATGAGAGGAAGGGGTCAAAGCAAGAGGGGCTTTCTCATCCAGGTCAAGCAGAGAGGTGAACGCTAGACTGGCCTCTCCGTTCCCAATCCCCTCGTGGCAAGTGCGAATCGAGCACGCAGGGTTTGTTCTCCGCTACCTCACGGCAGCATGCATTTCCCGAGCAGTAGCGAATCATGACCCGCAAACAGCTTAACGGCCCGGCACCCGGGGTAATGAGAGAAGAGCGGCATGCTTCAGACATACTTACGCGGAGCCGACACCTACAACGAAAATCTTGAGCGCCGGAGCAACCACACCCGACCGCTTCCCATCCGGGGATTGTGACCGCTTCCGTTGCCTCCCTCCGCCGACGGTCCCGGGGGTCTGGCGCGACGGCAGCTACGCACGTTGACGAAAGGTTGATGGGCTGGCTGCTGAACAGATGGACAGAGCCGTGGGTGCCGCGGGTATCTCAAGACACGGTGGCCTCGCCTCATCGTTCCGGTGCACGAACCTCTCGGATGTATTGAATCACGAAAAAAGAAAAAAAATGCGTTCTCCAAGACAGCTCTGATTGTGTGGTTTTTTTCAGAATTCCGCCCTGGGAGCACCACACCAACACCGTCGTACGGGAACAGCGACCCTCGCAAACACGCTTCTCCTCCATGGGGGGGATAATTACCGCAACGTTTCTAGCCGTAGCCGACGAATGGCTGTTTCATGTATGCTGAGGAACCGAACGCTTGCAGGAGTACAGGTGTACAGGTGTACTCCGTGGATCGCCAAGAACACGACCGTAACAAGTCCAAACAAACGCAACACCTCCAACGCCGTGCCGCCAAAAGCCTAGAGAGTAGCAAACCCAACCTGCTGGGATAAAACGTGCTCCATTGTTTTGTGTTTTTGTGTTCGTGTTTTGTGTGTGCCGTTGTGCTGTACTTCACGTTTTTGAGCCTGGTTTTGCTCGTCGATGTTACATTACGTTACAGCCCCGCCCTACAGAAAAAAAAGTACTTCATGATCTGGATCCGTTTTTTTTTGTTTCGCTTCGGAGGTTTGCCACCAACCGTAAAAAATTACTCAAGTACAGTACGGGGGCTGCAATTCGTTGTTTGCTATTCGTCGTGCTTCCCGCCCCCTTCATCAAGCATGCGTTGGGCGGGGAGGGATGTAGAGATGGCAGTAGACAACAGGCATGCTGCAACTGTTTAACCGCGAACAGGCAGGCCTCGCTCAGAATAGAAATGGTTGTCTTCCTTGCGCTCGGCCTCAGGGCTCACATCTGTTGCTGGGGTCGTGCTGTCCAAGTCCGTCCCCAGCTGCGGCCCCCGAAAGTCCGCAAACTTGGGTCCTTAATTATCCAACTCACGATCCACTGCTCTGCGCGCCGTCATAGACCCAACCCCCCGAACTCCTGGCCGACAGCATGAAAACTCGCACCATTGGCGGCTTTGGACGAACCGAAGTTCGGGAGATTGGGTCTGTGACCGCGCGTACAGCAGTCGGCCGTGAATGAGCAAGGACGCCGATTTGTAGACTTTTCGAACCGCAGCAGCTGCATCCTTCGACAGCACGGCCGCAGCACCAGCAGATCTGGGCGCGCCAACGCGCATGCCTGCTCTCTACTGGTGCAGATGTCCGAATCGGGACTCCGCACCGCAATGACCTTGTTTAAGCACCCGCGGTGTCGCTTGTGTCGTCTTTAAGTGAGACTTGTGAAAAATCTTGTCTTGGTGTGAAAAAAAAGGTGTGCGCAGGTACGCATACAGTAGTGTAGATTGCATGTCAAGACAAGTCCGTCCCAATTGGTCATTTTTTCATCTCGTGTGTGATCGCTGGGTGCGCTCTTCATGAAGGTCGTTTTCGAATCCAGTCAACCCCAAGATTGACTGGAGACAACATTTGTATGCAGATTCGCCTCGACATATCATTGGTGGGCCGAGTACCACTTGAGTATGTATTGTAGTAGAAATTAGTATCATAGTACATCAGGCACGGGGCGGACAAGTTTCGGTGGGCTCAACACCTTATGCCGAGACGCCAAAGATGACCAGATCGACATACCCCACCGGAGGACAACCCGAATCCCGCCTTCTTGGTTAATTCGACCATTTGGTCCCCGCTCGATGGAAGCAAAGCATAATGATGCAGTGATTCCATCCAAGCGGGAGCCCAACCGTCTGAATTAGCCAAGAAGGCGGCAAACGAGAGTTAACCCACAGGCAGCTCGTTAGTTGTCCTCCGTTGTTGCATTTCTCTCAGTCATCTCGAACGCCTCAGCTCAAGAGGCGAGCTCACCTAGTACATGACGCAACCCCCAGGGAGCGTGTGCCTTGATCCCTCCCTCCGTGCGGAGGGTAGACGCACCCTACCACCTCACCGGCGACAGCAGTCTTGCGGCCGGCCGGCGCGATGCTGCCCAACCGATATACTCAAGGCGAACTGCAGTACAAGCATGAAAGAAGCATATGGTATTGGCGCTATAGAAGCACTCCACAACGCTGTGGCTGACACTGGTGCTTTCCAGAATGGCAACAAAAAAACGCCCCGAGTGCCCCAACCCGGCAGTAAACGTCTACATACACAGCCGCAACGGGTTACGCCCGCTACGGACAGACAGCCCCTTTTTTTAAGATTTCATCGGGACAGTGACGAGGCCAACTGCAGTAGTTCAGAAATGGATTGGTAAAAAACAGCCTCCTCAGTGAAGATTTCAGCCCGAACGATGGTTGAAAGAGCGACGTCAGGAGTAACGATGGTTGAAAGAGCAACGTCAGGAGTAACGATGGTTGAAAGAGCGACGTCAGGAGTAACGATGGTTGAAAGAGCAACGTCAGGAGTAACGATGGTTGAAAGAGCGACGTCAGGAGTAATGATGGTTGAAAGAGCGACGTCAGGAGTAACGATGGTTGAAAGAGCGACGTCAGGAGTAACGATGGTTGAAAGAGCGACGTCAGGAGTAACGATGGTTGAAAGAGCGACGTCAGGAGTAACGATGGTTGAAAGAGCGACGTCAGGAGTAACGATGGTTGAAAGAGCAACGTCAGGAGTAACGATGGTTGAAAGAGCGACGTCAGGAGTAACGATGGTTGAAAGAGCGACGTCAGGAGTAATGATGGTTGAAAGAGCGACGTCAGGAGTAACGATGGTTGAAAGAGCGACGTCAGGAGTAACGATGGTTGAAAGAGCGACGTCAGGAGTAACGATGGTTGAAAGAGCGACGTCAGGAGTAACGATGGTTGAAAGAGCGACGTCAGGAGTAACGATGGTTGAAAGAGCGACGTCAGGAGTAACGATGGTTGAAAGAGCGACGTCAGGAGTAACGATGGTTGAAAGAGCGACGTCAGGAGTAACGATGGTTGAAAGAGCGACGTCAGGAGTAATGATGGTTGAAAGAGCGACGTCAGGAGTAACGATGGTTGAAAGAGCGACGTCAGGAGTAACGATGGGTGCAATGTGTCATGCACGAACGACAGCTGCCGACTTCTCGAGACACCGGCGGGGGGTTCGTACAGAGGGGGCCCCGGATATTTCATCCAAAAAAAGGAAACGTTGCCTGGGTAGGCGATACGGAAGCAAGCAAGCCTGCTAAGGTACTGGAAGTAGGGAGCGACGAGGTGCCCGGCTCTTCTTTTCAACGTGCCAAACAAGCATGCCCGGGACAACAAATCCGGGCGACGCTTCAAGCACCTTCTCAATTTGGCTATAGCCAGTATCCATCTCGTCACCGCTCGTAACATTAACTGAATGGGATCGGGGGAAACCGCGTGGCTTGTAAAGATCGAATTGTGTGCTGCTAAGGGCGGCGGAGGCAAAGTCCCTTCCGGCCCGCCCGCGTACTTCCTAGATACCAGAACCATTGAGTTTAGAATCAGCGGAAGAGTGGGTCGAAAGTTCAAGTATTGTACCGTCAATGATCCCACGGAGACGCTACAATCGTCTCTCCTGTCTGTTGATGCCTGTCAGTCACTCTCCCAACCTGGACGTACAGTATTTACATTTGGAATGAAGTACAAAATATACAACAATGTGTTGATGCTCAGGCATGCCTGGCTGTTGGTGCCTGTCAGTCGCTCTCCGAACCTGGATGTACAGTATTTACATTTGGAATGTACAGAATACTCGTATACAACAATGTGTTGATGCTCAGGCATGCAATATACAAAAATATACAACAATGGGTCGATGCTCAGGCATGCCTGTCGATGGCTCTTTTCTGTCTGTCTGTCTGCCTATCTGTCTGTTTGTCTGTCTGCCTTTTCGGACAAGGGAGCTATGTTCTCCAGATTTCGAAAACAAATCAACACGAAGTAAAAAATATTGCTATGCTGTGGTAATTAAGTTTCGTGCATAAAATCCGGCCTCTTTGGGAAAAATAAGGGTCAATTCAGCCGTGTATTTTGTGTCTCTACACTCACCCCTAACTAGCACAAACAGAGCTTGTGTGTAGAATGCCATTAAAGAACACCTCGTACCAATGACTACTTCAAAGTACATACATTCGCAACATGGTGATGAAAGGACAGGAGGGGCAAGGGTTTTGCAAGTAAGGTGCAACTACAATAGGTGTGTACAGTAGCTGTTCAGAGTACATAGGTGAAAAGGCACGCACATGGTAGTTCAGAGTACATAGGTGAAAAGGCACGCACATGGTAGAATCAATCAACACAAACAA